TTTACAGTACTTGAGGTGACGAATATTCAAACTGAAATTTTTCTTTTTCCCGATATGCTACTACCGTAAAGTCCGGAGCAAACGCCCACCCCATTTTTGCAAGATCTTCTGGCCTGTACACACTGACCCCATGCACTGTCACCCCTACTGTACGAAAGTGCATCTCACACCGTAGCGGGAAGAGCACTTTGCTACGGTAAACTATGTCCACTTTCCTGGTTTCAAAATCTCTTTGTGCACTAGCGCTATAGCCACGAGCTAGCTAGCTCGTAGTGATTTTATAACAATGGTTGTTTTATTTCGCAAATCCGAACGGGTTTTCTTCCGAATAACAAGGTAGCGAAGAACAGAGTACTAGTATTGAAGGAACCAAATACACTTCTGACGGTGTTTCAAGCCATCATTTCGAGATCACACAGCGCCCAAAGGCAAATGTTTTTCTTGGGCACTTCGGAGTTTTCAACAAGTTAGCAGCGACGTTGTAGGTGTAGCTTCTGTGACAAACCCTGTTCGACTTGCAACTGCAATATTGGGACCAGTCAAGCCGTTGACTGACGCTTCATCAGAACAATTATTGTTCCTGACAGCGCGACATCGTGGCACTGCACAAATTTCTGCGGCACTACTCGTACCACATGGAGAACGAACTACCACAAAGACGATACATTTATTGAATGAAAGGAAATCTCGACAGAAGTTATTTCTTTGCCGGAAGATAATGACAATCGCTTTTGCACAGCCTCCTGGTAGGACATAGGCAGTTTGTAGGCATTACAGTCGTTCTCGTACGCATTCGACCTTCATGCCAGTTGTTTACAACTATATTGACCTGAAAAAGACGAAAATAGTATGGACCCGCTGGGGTGGGCGTTTGCTGCGAAGTGGGCGTTTGCTCCGGACTTTACGGTACTCTGTGTGTGTGTGTGCGTGCGTGCGTGCGTGCGTGCATGTGTGTGGTCACATGTATGTGTGTTCATGTGCGATTGGTTTTTTCTTCATTAGGTCACACTCTACTCAGACTCGACAATCACAAACTCATTGCCATTGGTGTCTCTGATCAAGCACTAAGGTATGTGCGCGTGTGTGTGCGTGTGTGTGTGTGTGTGTGTGTGTGTGTGTGTGTGTGTGTCACGGTGTGTGGGTGGGTGTGGTGCAGTGGTATATGCAGCGATTTCCAATCGATAGGTTGCGGGTTCGATTCCCGACGATTATGGTCACACACGTCTTTCTTCTCTTTCTCAGACTCCTGACTTTTCTTTCATTCACCTGGGTGGTTAGCAACAGCCAGTGCATGCCGGTGTATGTGGTGTGATTGGTGCACGGTAAAAAAATGACAAAGACCAAAAATAGGGATTCACTGGCCAGAAAAAGCCACTTCATAGCTGTGTGGTGTAGACCAGGCTGAATAGTGGTGGTCAATTCTTCAGTCTTGCAAGCTGTTGAATGGCGCAATCCCAGCACAAGCTGCTATGGCTTCTACTGTAGTATTGCTATCATCGCTATCATCACCTCTGGCGATGGGGTGTCAAAAGCTCCAAAAAGGTGTGTGTGTGTGTGTGTGCGTGCGCGTGTGCGTGTGCGTGCATGTGCGTGTGTCTGCATGCATGTGTGTGTGTTTTGGTGTGTCTGTGCATCTGTGTCTGTGCCCCTTTCTGTATGTTTCTTCAATACCTCTAAGCCACAAAGTGGGGGTGTTGTGCTGCTTAGCTGCCGTTGAACTTGGCTTGTAGTCATTTTCGTTGTGTTCACCTTCTCCTCCTGTCTAGTTGTCCCGTCGCTGAGTGTTTCTGTGAGCTGTCAGTTTGGTGCCTATAGTCTGTTCATAAGAAGATGATATCTTAGCTTTTGGCCATAAATGAGTCAAATTTTGAGTTTTTTTCACAATTTGTATGCAATCTCACCTGGAATGCTTTTCCGATTATGTTTCTGAAGTCTCTTTCTCCGAAAGCAGGCCGTAACAAGAATAGAATTTCGGCCAGGACTTGCCCCAAGAGCACTGATTTAGAAAAAAATCATGAAAATCCAGGCCGTTTCACTTCACTTGCAACGGTACATTGTGCGGTTCGAACCCCAGTTGAAGTACCATTTTTGGATCCTTTTTCAAATTTCGCGGCACTGCACCATGAAAGATAAAATCACGAGAAATCACCGAAGCGGGAGCTTGCCAGAGCCAGCGCTCATCTTTTCATAGCATGGACTGTAGTTGTGGCTTTTCCTGACCCGTGTGCTATCTAGTTATAGTGGCGGACATTTACTTATAACTTGTGTCCAAGTGACACTTTATTCTTATAAACTCGGCTACTGAGCCAGTAATAAATGTAAATAAAAAAAGAGAAGAAACACATGAGAACGAGTTATGCAGCAACTGTCCACGACTATAACAAAATGATAAACAGTCAGAAAGTGCGAAAAAAAAGTGCGATAATAGGGACGTTTAGCAATGCGAAAATTCGAACTTTTGGTGGTGGCGATATTTCGCGAAAATCTATTTCGAAAAAGAAAACTTGTGAGGTTTAGCAATGCGAAACGACTTTTTCTCGAAGCTATTTGAATTTTTATAGTACCGTACCGTATACATGGTATATGCAGCTCAGTCTCAAGCAGGGGGCTGTAAAATTACTACTCCCTGTAGTGAAATGCGTACTGAGAAAAGAGAAAGTTACTTTCGCAAATCACTGCAACTTCGCGTCCAAGTTTTCGAAGTTTCGACCTTTGTTTCTGTACTCATTCCCAGACTCGAATTTTCTTTCGAACTTTCGCGTTGCTAAACGTCCTTAATAGGGCATTATTTCCCTTGATTCTTATAGTTAGAACTAAACTGATCGCGTTGAAAAGAGCGAGGACCGCTGCAACGACAGGTCCATGGCGTTTTTCTAATGAATATGCCCTTTGCCCTCTCCCCATCAGATGAAGTCCAGGCTATTGTATTGAACAACTGTGAATAACCACCATGAATACAAGTGCAATCAGGAAAAGAATTATTAATGAGAAGGCTCTTAAAACATTCAAGAATAACTTGATTCTAACAAATACCATGGCAATTGTGCCAAGCGTCAATGATTCGATAAGTATTTTTGGTCACGGAGCCTGCCTAACTTGAAAACCGCTGGTACTGAGATCTGTGTCGCTGAGAAAGGTCGCGCTGGCGTATTTGGCGTTGAGATATTTAGCGCTGAGATATTTGGAGCATATCATCTACTGACGCTGAAGTAAGCGGCGCTGAAATATGTGGCGCTGTAAAATTCGGCGTTAAGGGCGCCAAAATGGCATAGAGTCCTAAACTTGAACCCCCATTGTTTCTGCTTTTCACCTGCCAACAATCCCCTTTTTACTCTCTTTCTCTCTCTCTCTCTCTCTCTCTCTCTCTCTCTCTCTCTCTCTCTCTCTCTCTCTCTCTCTCTCTCTCTCTCTCTCTCTCTCTCTCTCTCTCTCTCTCTCTCTCTCTCTCTCTCTCTCTCTCTCTCTCTCTCTCTCTCTCTCTCTCTCTCTCTCTCTCTCTCTCTCTCTCTCTCTCTCTCTCTCTCTCTCTCTCTCTCTCTCTTTTGCGTCCGTGTGCAGGAAGCGGATGTTGCAGGAAGTCGAGCAGCTTCGACTGTGCCACGAGGAACGCGAAGTGCGGCGGATGCTCATGAACCCGATTGGCCGCCAGCGGCAGCAACAGCAACAGCAGCGCCTGGTATCCCCGTGACTCAACACGATGTCATTGTTCGGCATCAATCTTGCGATTATGAAGTCATTGGCTGTGTCGTATGAGCCATGCCGTGTGACGATTAGGTCGCTGAGTAGACTCGAGGAGTGGTTGGACGGGTGGTGCCACTAATGTGCTGCACTATGGCTGGGTAGCACACGCACGACCACAAGCATGGTTGCTCCATGGACTGCTTTGATCTACGAGTCAAGGGCACTGACTTAAATGCAGACTTGCAGGCCGGTCTGCGCCGGATCACTAATTGCCAGCGCAGGCTGCCCGGATCCACACCACTCATCGCCACATACAGCTGACCGCTGACGTCTTGAAACGTGAAATTAACCAGGGGCTCCAACAGGCCGGTAGGCCTCGCGGCTCCTGTACTGACGTGTCCTTGAGTCAAACATGAAAGTTCTATTTATTGTACAAGGGAGATGCACTCTGCTTTTCATCATCATCTGCTGGGAAGTCACCTTTTCACACCTGCAGGGAAATTGCCTCTTCACACCTGCTGGGGAATCCCCTTTTCACACCTGCTGGGGAATCCCTTTTTCACACCTGCTGGGAAATCCCCTCTTCACACACACACACACACACACACACGCACGCACGCACACACACACACATACACACACACACACACGCATTCACTGTTGCCGTGTATGCATTGCTGTGATACTTGATGAGTCGGCTCAGGAAGTTGAGAGTAGCTCCTGTTATGCGCCATGCGTGATTGTCCCAGTATAACTGTTTCTAATCCAAGCTGTCATATCATTTCTGCTGGCCTAGTTCTACTCCTTCTGCAAATTGGCGCTCTCAGTGCCAACATAAGTATTATTTTCATCTCTGTCACGTGCTTGCCGCAGGTGCGTGTATGTGTTTGCATGTGTATGTGTGTGCCTGTGTATGTGTATGTGTGTGCCTGTGTATGTGTGTGCATGTGTATTTGTCTCTCTGTGCATGTCGTGCGTGTGCGCCCAAGACCCCAAGAGTCCGCCTGTAATTTGTTCGGCTGCTTTCATTTTCATGTTCTTTTACCCACGTCTGTGTACTTCACCTGCGCTCAGGCTTTCTATCGGATATAGTGTTTGCAATTTGCCCCCTGCAATTATTCTAAAGAAACCTATTTTGCAATATCGAACATAGTTATTCAGGAATGCAGTATTTGTCTCGAATATAGCCCTTTTCCAAAGATGCCATAATTTTTCGCAACTTATGCTTTTCGCAACCGTGACAAAACAAGTGAAAGTTGCTGAAATCGAATCCATATTTTCAGAAAACCCTCAAAAGTTGCTGATATCGCAACGAAAAATTGGAGAGTTCTTGTGCAAAAACCACCAAAAAAAGAGCAGAAATAGCAGAAGTGCAACGACAGCAAACTCGTACACCCTTCCTATCTCAGTCGGTTTCTCCCGGCTGTAACCTGCTCTATCCAACACACCACTATGCACAGTGCCAGTAGCCTTTTGCATGTATCCTACATCATTCCAGTGCACGGAAAAGGGAATGCACATTATCGTAACTATCGTTGATCTATTGTTTCTCTGAAATGAGTATGAACTGAAGGCAGGCGAGAAATGAGCAAGTCATTTCTCACCTGCCTTCAGACTAGGGCTGAAACAATTATACCAATTATTTGTCCGACATGTAGTTCGTGACTTGACCTCTTGACCCCATGCCATGGGGCCAAAGTTGCGAAATAGTTCGCGAAAATGAAGAAAGTTCCGAAAGTTGCGAAAAAAAGTGGCGAGCATCTTTGGGAAAGGGCTACTCGAATACTTGGGCAAGTAAAAAAGTAAAAAAAAGTTGTAAAAAGGTCAAAAAGAAAAGAAGAAAGAGACCGGGAAGAAGGCGTCAAAAAGGTGATGACCTAACCTTGTAATGGAAAGTCCTCTATAGATAAAAGAGGATGTATAGAGGACTTTCCATTACCATGATTACATCACACTTTTGAAGCCTTTCCGGTATCCACACAAAGATCACCCATAGGATAAGTCCTTTGACCTACGGTATAATCTGCTTGGGTTGCAAGAAGAGAGTCTTTGACTCTTTGTGGTCCACTTTCACAGAAGTCTCTGCTGTGAGCACGGTGGCTCGGCAATGGCTTTATTGATATTATTATAATTATCTCCTTCCTGATTTTTGCCTTAATAATATTAATTGTATGCATAGAGCTAGAGCTTGATACGAAAAATAAGCACAAGACACTGCTGGTACTGTAGTCGCACAGCAAAACAAACAGAAAACGAAAAAAATGGACAATGGATGTAACAACGCCCGTCCAAGCTAAATAAAAGGACCTACATGTGCATGTCATGTACATCCCTGCCCTCAGGGCAGTGCCAGGACGGCATCTCGAAAAAAAACCACACACTCACCTCACGGTCATCATCAAGCTTCAGTTCAATCACTGAAAAGCAGTCGTAACTGCCACAGCCACATGGCCAATAAAAAAACCAATAAGACAATCATATCGATAAACACACACACAGAAGTCAGGGGTAGGAGGGTGGGATACAAACTGCACCAACGAAAGCCACTGTGAAGTGAAAGGAATGCGGTCAAGCACAACATTATTTAATACGTTTTTCATTTGACCCGACGAGACCACACGGCGCTTGCAGATCACAGCACGAACATTCATACTCGACGAAAGCAATTATTAGTACTCCTGACAAGTCTTGTTTCGTTCCATAAAGATGAAGGGGAACTCATCAGAGGAGAAGCAGTTGTTGAATGAATGGGGTTTAGCTGAATATTGCTATTTTATAGAGAAGATACCGGCGCAAGGTGTAAACACTCAACTAACGCATAATATTATGTGACACACATGTATCAACACAAAAGGAATAGTGCTGAGAATGGAGGTGTTATGAACCCTACCAGACCCAACTATCACAAGTGCTAAATCAATCACAATGCATGAGAAGGAGAGGTACACACGGGAATAGGTTGCGCTAGAGTACTGAGGTAGTGACAAAGATAGGTGAAAAGTAGACGCCAAGTTATAATAATAGCTATGAAAAGTATGAATGCCGCAGACATCACCACGCAACATGACAATTTGTTCAAGGTTTTAGATTGTGTGTAACAGTGTTTCCAGAATCGATTTTAAAGCTCCGATCATCAGTGAAAATACGGAACTAAAGTGATCAAGAACTAAATATTGCGACAGAGCTTTCGGCCATATTTTCAATTCATTCCCAACTCCTCACAACCACGCTCTCTTCAGCCGAACCATACAGACACCAGCAAGGACACTTCCGTTGAGAGATAATATTGCTCCACGCCTCTAGACAGCTGTTTCGCTCCCTGTCGGAGCTCATCAGTAGAGGATAATAATGATGATAATGGAGGAATGATCATTCTTATACACCAGAAATGGCGCAAATGCGCGCTTTCCACATATATCAATGGCATATGCAAGCTGCTAAAATGGTAAAGTGTGAGAACAGCGATAAAATAATAATCATAGTACTCGCTTTTTTTTTTACTCGGTTTTCGTCGCTTGTGTGTTTCTCCACCAATGAGCGAGTACTATGATTATTATTTTATCGCTGTTCTCACACTTTACCATTTTAGCAGCTTGCATATGCCATTGATATATGTGGAAAGCGCGCATTTGCGCCATTTCTGGTGTATAAGAATGATCATTCCTCCATTATCATCATTATTATCCTCTACTGATGAGCTCCGACAGGGAGCGAAACAGCTGTCTAGAGGCGTGGAGCAATATTATCTCTCAACGGAAGTGTCCTTGCTGGTGTCTGTATGGTTCGGCTGAAGAGCGCGTGGTTGTGATGAGTTGGGAATGAATTAAAGTGATCAAGGGAAAAACAAAGGTTAAAAATCCAAAGAAGTGTGACACATGACGCATTCATACTTTTCATAGCCAAGTCATAATTATTAATAATAATAAGTTACTTTATCAATCCGGAATCTGCGCCAAATAAAGTCGAACACCAACACTCCTCTTGTTCGGCTGGCAGACGATGATGGCAATATCATGACAAGCATTCAATGGAATCGCGACACATTTAGTAAATACTTCCAGTCAATATTTCATCGCCCTGACCTACCCTGTGATTTCCGTGGCTCGCAAGATATCAATGATGAGGAATTGCCGTTTACCACCCAAGAAGTCACTTCAGCAATCAGTAAACAAAAAAAGGAGGCGCCGTGGGACCCGATGGAGTCAGTGCGGAAATGCTACGCGCTGCTAAGGACCTCCTCAGTCCTTTACTTGGCTAGCCTCTGTCTTCAATGCAATACAGAGTGTTGGTTATTGCCCTGACGATATGCCGCAGTGGATTGGTAGTACATGTACCTGTATACAAACCAGGCAAGCCACTCGGAAAACCGAAAAGTTATCGCCCGATCATGTTACTCTATAGTGAGAAAGGTGCTGACGTCAGTTATTACTAAACGTAGCACGGATGACATCACAGTTTATGTCTCTGAAACCCAGGCTGGATTTCGTCCAGGTCGCTCAGCCGCTGATGGTGTATTTTACACAAGGTCGCTGTGTGAGCGGACCATGCTTGGCAATTAACTGGAAATATTCCGTCACCCTTCTAGATTTCTCTGGTGCTTTTGACACTATAATTCGCACCACAGCACTTGACAGGTTAGAGGAAGCAGATATCAGCACAATAACCATCAAGTCTCTACTTTCCAACACGACAGCCAGGATCAAGCTGAGTGGCTCCCTGAGTCCCCCATTCCCAACTAACATCGGAGTGGTCCAGGGAGGCCCGATGTCCCCTATTATGTTCATAACATATGCAGAATGCACAATGCGCAAGATCAGGGAAAGATGCACAATTCGCTCACCAATGCCTGCTCCAACAACGCAGTACGCTGACGATACTACTCTGCATAACCGAAATGACGATGAGGCGAAGGCTCTTGTTGCTGAGTGTGAACCTATTTTAAAGAAGACAACCTCAAGCTCAATACACAGAAAACTGAATATGTTGATGTTACAAGAAACAGCAACGAATGGAGATCAATCAAACTCCTGGGTTCTCTATTGGGCTCTGCAGAAGACGTGGACATGAGAATCTCAAAAGCAAACAGGGCGTTTGGTTCGATTTCTTGGAGACGGCATTACTTTCAATCCCGACTGTGTATGTTTAACTGCTTCATAATGCCGATCCTTCTATACAATTGTGGATTGTGGACTCTGTCCAAATTGCTGAACGGCAAACTGGACAAATGGCAACGGAGGAAGCTACGCGTACTGCTGCAGATTGTCTACCCGCAACGCATCACCAATAACAACTTATACACAGAAGCAAAACAATCTCCAGTTAGTGCCGCATGCCGGCGACGCAGGCTGCTGTGGTTTGGCCATGTGGTGCGAGAGGGTCCAGAATCCGCCTCGTTCCAAGCACTGGAGCTATCAATCAACACAAACGACATAAAAAACCCGTGGCCGTCCGCCATTGCGGTGGATAGATACGATTCGGCACGATCTGAAGGCAGCGGATCTCTCCGTGGAGAGCGCTCTCCAAGCTGCAGGAGATAGACTAACTTGGCTTGACACTGTTGACAGATGCGTCGACTCTGCTCCTGTGTTACAGGTTCAGGGAAGATGCGAGCTGTGTTTATTATTATTATTATTATTATTATTTCCCTCAAACCGGTTAATTATTATTATTATTATTATTATTATTTGAAACTCGGATGTTGAGCCATAAATAAATGTAGAAGAGAAAAGAAAAGGACATATGGATACGAGTTAAGAGCAACTATCCATCACTGTAACATGATACTATATACAGTCAGAAAGTGCAATAACTAGGCACAAAACTGACAGAGTACTGAAACATTCGACGTCCTGACACCTAGCTTCAACACATCTCCGTAGCGCTAACCGACAGCCTTCCAACTTGGAAGGTTCAAGGTTATGGAAAGACCAAAGAGGGGAAGGCAAGCGCAACGAAAACGAGCAAAAGCTACAGTCCCAACGGAACAAAGAATGTCGATTGTTACTGGACGATGACGAGACCAGTACGAAATTTGACAAAGCGGTCTAACTACAATTCGAAGCAGCAAGGCAGCACACCACCCAGCTTGGGTGGGTCATAAATATCAAAGATAAGTAAAGAAAGGGAAGCTTTGCGAAAACGAATTGTACAAGCCGAAAGCCAAACTCCTACAGTACTCCTCATGCATGACATTGTGATGGACTAGTTGACTACAAAACAAGTTGTTTCACACGACGTACGTTTCGCCGTATGGTTCGTGACGGCT